GTATTCATTACAGTAACCTTAATAGTTTAAAGGTTAACTTTGTATTTAATCATAAATTGAGAAAAAATAATAATTTAAAAAAGTAATTAGTAAAAAAATTTCAATAACCACTTCTAATAAAACAAAATTAAATCTGTGCGAAATATAAAGTGTATTTAAAACTAATCCGTTTATTTATGTTTTACTGAATGAATTGTATCATCGATAAGAATAATTTAAAGACCAGAATTTACTAAGAAATTCTGCCTCTTAAAAAGATGAAACCTCCACATTATTTTTAACCAAAGAAGAAAGTATACGAAAAACAGTTAAAACGCATAACAGAGTCACTTTCACAAGCAAAGGCTGATATACTACGAGCGACGTTTACGACTTTAAACACACGACTTGGACAACACGGGATAATATCTTGGATTTAACTAACGTGATACAATCTCCAATAAACAGAATCGTGACTGCCAAAACATTGGCTTAAACTTTACCCTTGTTATCATGTTAGTTTTGAGTTTGAACGGCGATTTAGACACTGCGGACATTTTTTCGTAATCTAGATTTATAGTTAACCTGAATTGTGCAAACGTTAGAAACGGAAAGCGAACGTAAACCCACGTTTACAGGCCTAGATTTGATTTAAAACATACCAGTATATATTTAGACGAAAAAAATGGCAGGCGAGTTTAATTCTGTTAACTAAAAGGTTAATATGTGTTTGAAGAAATAAATAGAAGAAAAAGTTATAAAAAGAATTAACACTAAACATTTTATAAAATTTATGTTTTATGGTGACAGAAAATTAACCAGCTCCACTTGACGTAAGCTTCCATAGTTTCATTTTTAGGTAGGATTTTATTTTAAAATAGTAATCGTTATGAAATTCATCTAATCACTGAAACGATTAAAACATAGTGACGCATAGCATAGATAATAATTGGTTAACCCTTGTAAGTAAAGATTAACAAATAGTGCAATCCGTAAAAATGTTCTCAAAGTAATACATATAGAGAAACTAATAGGATAAACCTAATCATAATTTGAAGTTAAGCCCAATCTATTTAAATGATCTTATACGCCATAACAGATTCTGACCGACCATAGTGACTACCGATCATGTATTGAACTGGGCAAGATTATTTGTTCACTAAAACCTTTCGTCCACAAAAATAAGAAGTATTTTTAATTGAATATACCCTACACATTACACGACATAAAATTACACAAATAAATAAACATTAGTTGTACTTTCATCCATTAAACATCAAAATACCAACTGCGGCATTCTGTAAATATTTAAGCTAATAAGCTTGTTCAATGAAACCTTGCCTATTCACCCAAGGCCCTAAAATGTTTAAAATATATATTTATGATAAAAATTGGTCACGGAATTAAAATCAGAGAACAAAACCAAAACAACACCGGTATGACACAGCATAGTATTAATGAATAGAGGGAGTCACTGTTATACAATGACCATTTAAACTCGTGTACCATACAATAAACAATGGGGTACACGACCGTTGTGGGAGTACACAGGGAAGCAGTATGGAGCCTATGATGTTACTAATGGAAAATATAACGATGAAGTAACACGGTTGTATCACGGGTGAGGCAATAGTGACGAATACAGTGTACTGTTGCATATGAAAGTAATAAAAGAGCTTTGTATCGAGTAGGGATAGCATGTAAAGGTTAAAATATCGGTGGAGTGGAGTTTACAACAGTTTCTTCAAGTGAAACAAATTAATTGATACGTAATAAAAAACCATTTCTTCAAGAGACTTATTCACCCTACTACTACTGATTCATTGAACATAATGTCGAATATCTAATGATAACTTCTTGATAACTAACTCATATAATGATTACTGGTAATGTGTTCGGAAAACGAAATTTTCATTTAAAATGCTAAGAAGAGAAAATATCTAACACGTTGAGGTCAAGGAGAGACGACAATACAACAATTGACTTAAAATAGGTCAAGTTAAATTCTCATCCCATTGGACAATTTGGAAAAGTTATTGAAAAGAATTGATGGATATCTTAATTTTGTTACATTTAAGCGCATTGATGTCTCTTGCCATAGGGTGGTTTCTGAATTGTTACTCTAATCTTTGATTGAAACACCTAAGTATTTTACAGATGTAATTTTATGTTAGAAGAGAGTAGTTTATGGAGGTGTTAATAAAAACAAATGTCCTCTCCGCATTTCGGACATGAACAATATTTTCGATGGATCCGGATCGGTAAGAGAGGATTTTTAAACATTAAGGCTCAAAATATACAAACCCTACCCAAACACACATTAATTGAACTCAATAACACTTACATCTTTTTCGACAATTTTCGCAAAACCCAACAGATTTGAAACACGATGTTTTATGCTGCGATACACATAATATGAATGTAAGGCTATCGTGCTAGTAAACCTCTGTTGATATTCCTTCGAATAACAAATTTCTTGGCATATTAACAATTTAAAACGAGAATGCAGCTTCTTGCTTATAGCTGCTACAAACAAAAATAATTAAATATTACCATTGTTCCTATTTTAATACGAGTTATTAATTAATTTCGAACAAAGAAGAGTGAATTATATTTGCAACCAGACTTACATGTAGTTTTATTAAGTATTTTATTTGCTGGGGCAGAAAAAAATCTAAGGAGAAAGTCCCAATTAAGTTCCTAAAAGCAGCGACTTCTGATATTTATCAAAAGGTTTCACCTGACATATCAAAATTTCTCGCTCAATTCGTTAAGCCTAACGATGTAGTTAGGACCATCCGTGTTCCGTGAAATTCGTTCCACCAATCTGTGGTTTGTAATGAGCATCACTCCATTGTTTTCCTCATATCGATAGCTGGAGATAAAAACAGTGCTCTAAATATATAGGAAAATGTAATTAAAGAATGTTTCATAGTTTTTACTAATATTGACAAATATTTTAAGGATTCTATTATAAAAGCAAACATTTTAAAAGTTAACTAAATTTATATTAGTTTGAAGAAAATGCTTTACACAATAAATTAAAATAATTTGTATTACACTTTGCATATAACAATATTATTGTACAGTATTATGTATATTATCCTTAGAATCTTGACAAAAATCATTTCAATACCAGCTGTTTCAACTCGTGTCAACGTTAAACGAAAGAATTCTTACGTTGAGTGGCGTTAACTAAGATTTTTATTAAATAAACAGCACATTTATTTAACAAATATAATTATTGTATATTTATTTGGATGGGTAAAGTTAAAGTCAAATGGCATTTTCTTACACGTAACCTGTCTTTTAAACTATGGTCACGCTTATAAACTAAACTAAGATAAACGAGTCTTATAACTATAAGCGCTAGTCAATGTGGGTCAACGATAAAAACATATCGAAAAATTACAATTCCTCATCTCAGTACATAAAACACTTACATCCGAAGAATAATTCTAGAGTTAAAATATCTAATGGCTGTTAAAGGAGGGGATCTTATAAAGCAAAGAAGGTCCTCCTTGCCTTAGGTATATCCTACTTTGCTTAAGTAAACGAACTGATAGCTTAAGAAGCAACAAACTAAATTTCACCTAGAAATAAAACACTTTTTGACGAATCATATTTTCGCTTATTTCAATGTTTCCAAGTCTGCCAACTGACCAGTTCAATCACTCACAGGTGGAATATTAACTCAAGATCGGATGTCCGATAATGATGAAAGTTTGGCTGAGTGGTCCCAACGTAACAAATCATTAGAAATAATAATAGACGTTCCACAGCTAATGGGAACCAACCAGAATGTTACCTCTAGAATTGTATAATTAGTACTTTCACGAAGTCCCCCAATTGAATAATGGGTTTATTAAAGTCGGATTAAAACGTTATGACTCGGCACAACTGAATGAGAACATGTACCATGGGAGAGAGGTATAATTGTCTGGTTTAGTTTCACTTATGACTTAATCCTCAGTAAACTCATCGGGAGGCACATTAAAGCAATTTTATCTCATTCATATTCAGTGCTCTGCTTTCTCTATCCATTAGTTTGACTAGCATTGTGCGACATGTAGACTACGTATTGTGATATAACTATGGAAAAAGGTAGAACTATTATAATTTGTTGTGTAATAAAACTATTAAAAATGCGAGGAAAAGTATGCGTTCCAGTTCGAAATGCATTAAATTGGGAGGAACTTGCATCTTCGGTTCAGGACGCCACAGAGTAAAAGAGGAGGTAAGGAAGTATGAGTGCACGATTACTAAGATGAAAAAACTTTTCTCAAAAAGATTTTTTTATATTTTTTCAAAGTAGTATTTAAAATATACAATACACGTTTAAGTGGAGTTTTGAAGAAAATAAAGAAACTTACAGCATATTAGAGTAGAAAACATTGGACTTCCTTCATTCCACCCGTCAAAGTCTCCTTAATTTACGTTCAAAGTAATTGTAGGAAAATAGAGAAGATTCTATATTAATTAAATACGTTAAAAAATATAACTTATATAACAAATGAAGTAGGTAGTTTAAGTTATTACTATTAAATAAAACCACTAAAAAAATTAAAAATTAAAATCACGAATATTAAAATGTTTAAATTATTTTTTTTGTTCAAAATAGTTTTGGTTTTCAAAACCCCTAAAGTTTTTTTCCTTTAACAATATATTTTCCAATAATTACACATTTCACCAATTTCATGATTGATTGAAGAGATACATGAACCTATTTTAAGGACAAAACTCGCTTTATGTCTTTTACGAGAAGTATGGAGGCAAACCCAACATGCTCTTGCCTTTTATGGCACTGTAATTTCAATAACATTAAGCTTTTTGATACTCCCGTCACCAAACGAAACGTTCACTCAACATATTCGACTCAAGGCTATAAAAACCTGGCAGAAATAACAATTACCAAAGCTACCAAAATCTGGACCCAAGGACGCCCCCCAGTTTTGGGCGCTACCCCAGAGCCCCCCCTCCATGGGTAGGGTGCCCACTGGGCAGTGAAAGTGTTACATCCAGTGTAGTAGTCTGTAGTCAGTGTAGGTAGTGCGGTGGTTACAGACCGTGGACCCTGGATACTAGCTTAGACATGTGGTGAGTCTGTCTACCACAGAATGTGGTAAATAAGATTAGTAAAGAAGTTACAAGCAAACAAGTTATTTTCAATACGTTTTAAAACTTTACCAGAGAATTTTTGAACTTTTCATCGTTATCATCAAAATTAAATTCAGGCCTGGCAATTATTTTACGTGACAACAAGAATAGATTGCAGACGACATAAAATTTCATTAAAAATTAAACAGAGGAAACAATTTAAAACCAATTCGTAATCGAAACAATGCAAACTAAATTTTAATTTTATTTAGCTTGGAATGAGATAAAGAATTACCGTACTTTAATTTTTGAATGGTTATATTCTATATTCTAGATATCTTTTTATTTAACAAATAGGGAAATAGATGACGGATTGAAAAAAGGCAACCGCAAAAGGATCCTTCAAAAAGGCGAAACAAAATGTTATTTAGCACATAATTATTTTTTTTAAAAGATATGGTTTATTTTAAATATTTCGTTATTTTGTGGCAATTTTTATATAAATCAAAACTCCCCCATAGAATTAAGTAAAAACTGCTGCATTTTTTCTCAAATGAGCTTGAAATTAATGAACCAGTATCTCCAACCGTCATTACTGGCCAATAGTCTTACATTGTCATTACAATATTGAACATAAACCAACATGAACAAATTACTTTGACCAAAAACAAAAATGTAGGAAAAAAGTATTTTTAATATTCAGATGTTTCGAATTTGTTAAACTTCTATCTGTCGTAAAACATAATGAACTTTTGGTAGATGTGCAACTTTGAGAAAAAAATTTTGGAAGTAAAATATATTACATTCTAATGTAGTCCAATGTTCTAATTAGTTGTTCCATATTATTTCAATTTCTTTTCTACATAATAATTAGTTAACAATTGATCAGGACACAGTCCAGCCACGACTTTTTAAGACATAAAATAAGATTCGTTTGATTTTTAAGAAGTAATAAAATTGGACTATTTAGCCTATGTTGTATTTTTTAAATGAGTATGAAACAAAACTACAGTATCTTTACTCTTACCCTTTAATTTATTAATTCCAAATACAAAATTATTAATTCGGTTAACATTTTTCATAAGTCCGACATAAATAACAATTAATTTAGAAAACGTTCAAGATTGATTAGAAAACGAGAAGACAAAGGCAACGTTATATTTCCAAAGAATTAAATTTTAATCTAAATTACACTGTGGACCAGCTGACGGGTTGTGGCGGTTGTTGCACGAGTTGTAGACAACAATGCACAGAGGTCAACAATGAGGGTCAACCAAGGGCACGTTGGATATTATTAAGTCTTGCAGCCGATGACTGTACGATAAAGGTTCAAAGACTGACGGTGATTTCAAGGGAAAACGCTCGTTTTTGTACAATAGGGAAAGTGAAACAAAATAATGATTGGGTGAATTTTCAAAACGTAGTAACATATTGCATGTATTGTATTGCATTTGGAGATTGAAATTGCCCTGAACTATTTTACAAAAACCTGTATTAACTAACAAGTAGGTCCTAAGGATAAGATATGCTCAATTAATACTGTGGCATACACAAAATGTTCAGTTAATACATTGAGTATTTTATAGTTACCTAAATTGTTCTATTGATGAAAATTTCGTTCAGTGGGGTATAATTCTTTCTTTTTGTAAATGTATCTACAGTAAATCTAGAGTGTGATCTTTTCCATCCGGAATTGAATTCATCACGAGTACGTCCAGTTACTAGCCAGTGCTTACCAAAAATTTCTACCTCATAATTAAACCGGATCAAATCAAAGACTTATAGCAACAAAGAGCGGATTTAATCAATTAATACATTTACAACACAATTGACCATCCTTTAACAAATTATCCATAAACAAAGGCTCTTTTGTCTGAAGGCGTATTGTGATGGTAGGTACATGGATTGTCAGTAGTGATCTATGATGCGGCAGTATTGCCAACTTTCCCACCCAAGGTCGAGTACCAACCTTACAAGGTCGAGGTTGACAGTGTTCACCGACCACGGAACAAAACGAGACTATACTGCTGTGAGATACATGTAATCTATGCAAATGAAGAGCGGGCATTGTAGAAAAACCTAATTTTTCCGTAAAAAGCCCCCTAACAACTTTTTTTTTATTGTCATTATATTTTAATTTTGTATTTGACAGTCAGGCCGAGGCGTTTGCTTGGAACATGTCTAAAACCCATAGAACATAAAATAATGTCACACTATTTTTGTGTGTGATGAAACGTATACCCTAAAGCTAAACAAGGGGCGAGCCATTACAGTTCGAGAATTACCTACTGAAAGACGAAAACTCTTACACCGACTCTTATTGATTATAATAATAAATAATAGAGCGAAATATACAATTTTAGAAAACAAGCTCAATTGTGTACAGACTGTAGCAGACTCTAAGTAAGGAGGGAATAACAAACATTCATTTCAAATAATGGTTAAATGATCCATTTTTAGCTGACGGGAAACTATTGGTACAATCGCTATAGCCTAGTTGATTCTTGAAACTCACACATTCTATACTTGATCGGAGAGATGAGGAAAATACTTCAAGTATCTACGATACTAACTAGCGACCTACTTAGCTGGTGATCTTATCACAAGTGTTTCATAAAAGAATATGCCTGCTCGAGCCACATAATGATGTATGCAACATGCAAACCGGGGCTTCTAGATTGCAAACTGATTCGTCAACCCTGCGATTAATTAAATGTTGGGAATAATTGACTTAGAATGTTATTCATTTTGTTTTTCATTTTAGTTTACTTTGTTTTTTATTGATGTTTTTCTTTTTTTTTGCAGAAGCGAACGTATTCACCCACTACTTTGAGAAAAATAAACTAAATTTCTTTAATGCCAACACCGCTTTAATAGAAAAAGTGTATTGCAATAATAATATATATTACTTCAAAACCAATACAGTATACGAAACCAATACTTATAGTCTACATTACCAATATTCAATCTTGATACAATTTGGTAAAAAAAAATCGCTATTAATAAATCCACGGAACAATCTACACAATCTTCGGTTCGTGGCGTCCACTTGCTTCATTATACACGATTGATGTATCAGATACAATTTGTAGTTCACTTATCGCGCTTCTCGTCAGTGTCCCGTTTGAAGAAGCTAATAGTTCAGTTGCGCGTTTAACGACGACTTGAGCACGCTTCTTGCTCGGAGAAAGTAATTAAAACAGTTGCTTAACTATCTTGCATCCATCTTCCATTTAACCTAGTTCTAGTTGAAAATGTAATTAATGAAATGAAAATACAGTCAAAGCGTGCTTTCCCCTGTCCGTGATATTGGGTTGATTGCATAAACGAGTTTCTTGTGTTTAAACTCATAATGACCTTTCAATGGACTCAGTAAGTTGAAATAAACCATACGAGTGGAATAATGTGTTAATCGCTGTTATCAATTGTAACAATATAGAGCTAAATTAGCACTTGGATCTCGAACAACGTTGCCAGAAATCCAAATGATCGGTGATCAGCTAATTGAGGTGATACGATAAACAGCTTTCGAGAGAGAGTTTACGATGAGTTTTAAGATTCGAGAACATTTGTCAAATGATCCTTCAATGACAAGTGTTTTAACACAATTCATGTATCAACTAAGCTTAACAATGTAGGAATATGACGTTGTCATAATAATTTGACTAATAAAAGAAATACTGTTTGAAAGAAATTATTTTCTCAATTACAGACTATTCTATAGATAGAAGAAATAAACTCTGGAATAACACAATAGAAAGCAATTTTAACTGTCTGCTTCTGAAATAAATAAAACTTAACAAAGAAAGGACGAAAACTCCCCATGTCTGTGGTTTAAGAATGGGCAACAAATTATTGTGCTTGATAGTTTTATACTATGGTTATAGTGCTCGTTTTCAGTTTTGAATGTTTGAGGTTCGTTCCCAAACGGGATGAATTCTGAATCATTTAACGTAGTTTGTAACAATTATACTACCTCGCAAAATTACGAAGTTATATCGTAACAATATTAATAGCAGAGTAACCAACGAAAAGGTGCATTCAAGTGTTACTCCGCGGTATACAATTGCTAATGTATTTCAAGCACCAACCCCGTGTACACTCATGTTACACCACACCTCAGACTTATTGACTTGCTGATGAGATGAAGGCGGCGTCTTAGACAGCTACAGCTGTTTGAGGAAGGGATGTGCTGTGTAGTTCACTTTCTACTCTAAGGCTAAAGATGGTCTGAATTGTCTTATAAGGCCCGGTTACACGTTCGCCTGTTAGAATTTCTTAGTGCAAAGCAAAAGTGTTTGGCGTAGGTCAAAGCTTACATCAGTACTGTTTCGGACGACGATTCGACATTAATATCAACAAAAATTACCCACGAAGCAAAAATGTAGCAAACAAATTATAGTTATGACATTTTGGATTGCATTTCAAATCAATTAAATTAAATTACATTTCGATTTTTTATTGTTGTAGTTCTAATATTTCTTCGAATCACCAATGGTTTTAAGATTCGTGATTTATTGTGACGCAGTTGTTCTGAGCCTACCACTAAATTAATAGATTTCTGTTACAGTTACACAAATTAAATAAAGGTAGCATTTGGTCTGTTGGTTGGTGTCAAATTCTCGAGAAAATTGAGGTAAAAAAGAAGTCATCTGACAATCAACAATATTCATCAAATGTATATCCAAAAATATCCTCAATTTAAGGTGAAATAATACATAAAGAATGTATCCAGTTTAGTGAATCTAACGTTCTATAAATCCAAAGATCCCTCACTATAGCATAATACACTTGTTCAAAGTTCAACCAATGCGGTAACTTGTAAGGTATTCTGAATACTATATCCTATACAGGGTTAGGCAAAAGTCTGGAACCCCCCAGTTAACTTTTTAACGCGTTGCAGTAGGTAAACCAAACTCGGCACATATTTACAACATAAGAAATTTCACTTTTTCATCAAAGTTACAACTTTGCCCCAGCCCCCAAAATAGGGTATTTTG